AACCCCGACATATTTGCTAATTTAACTACCAAAGATGTAGCTAATTTATTAGCCCCGACATATCTGCTAATTTAACTACCAAAGCTGTAGCTAATTTATTAACCCTGACATATTTGCTAATTTAGCTACCAAAGATGTAGCTAATTTATTAACCCCGACATAATCTGCTAATTTAACTACCAAAGATGTAGCTAATTTATTAGCCCTGACATATTTGCTAATTTAGCTACCAAAGATGTAGCTAATTTATTAACCCTGACATATCTGCTAATTTAGCTACCAAAGTTGTAGCTAATTTATTAACTCTGACATATCTGCTAATTTAGCTACCAAAGTTGTAGCTAATTTATTAACTCTGACATATTTGCTAATTTTAGCTACAAAAGATGTATTTTGATGAATGTTTTTCTTTATTTGGAAAATGTGCATGTGCAATTGTGGTATTCTCGTAATAACCTTTTAATATTTTTGTTTGTTCATGAAAACTGAGAAATTTGAGTGTAAAACAAGTGTCAGCATATCTGCAAATTTAGCTACCAAAGATGTAACTAATTTATTAGCATCAGCATATCTGCTCATTTAGCTAGCAAAGATGTAACTAATTTATTAGCATCAGCTTATCTGCTAATTTAGCTACCAAAGATGTAGCTAATTTATTAGCCCTGACATATTTGCTAATTTAGCTACCAAAGATGTAGCTAATTCATTAGCCTTGACATATCTGCTAATTTAACTACAAAGATGTAGCTAATTTATTAGCCCTGACATATCTGCTAATTTAGCTACCAAAGTTGTAGCTAATTTATTAACCCTGACATATTTGCTAATTTAACTACCAAAGATGTAGCTAATTTATTAACCCTGACATATTTGCTAATTTAACTACCAAAGTTGTAGCTAATTTATTAACCCTGACATATTTGCTAATTTAACTACCAAAGATGTAGCTAATTTATTAACCCTGACATATTTGCTAATTTAACTACCAAAGTTGTAGCTAATTTATTAACCCTGACATATTTGCTAATTTAACTACCAAAGATGTAGCTAATTTATTAACCCTGACATATCTGCTAATTTAGCTACAAAGATGTAGCTAATTTATTAGCCTTGACATATTTGCTAATTTAGCTACCAAAGTTGTAGCTAATTTATTAACCCTGACATATCTGCTAATTTAGCTACCAAAGATGTAGCTCATTTATTAGCCCTGACATATTTGCTAATTTAACTACCAAAGATGTAGCTAATTTATTAGCCCTGACATATCTGCTAATTTATTAGCCCTGACATATCTGCTAATTTAACTACCAAAGCTGTAGCTAATTTATTAACTCTGACATATCTGCTAATTTAGCTACCAAAGATGTAGCTAATTTATTAGCCCTGACATATCTGCTAATTTAGCTACAAAAGATGTAACTAATTTATTAGCAATCAGCTTAGCTGCTAATTTAACTACCAAAGTTGTAGCTAATTTATTAGCCCTGACATATCTGCTCATTTAGCTACCAAAGATGTATCTCATTTATTAGCCCTGACATATCTGCTAATTTAACCAACAAATATTTCTTAGCACTCATCTTACTCTGTACTTTGGTCTGGTTAGCTTCTTAGATAACCTGGTATATTTTTCTAATTAAATTTTAGCAAAAATGTTAACCTTACTTATACAGAAATTCATGATAATTAATTGAAATGTATCTCACGTTTAATCGGAAAGGTATATAGACGACTGATTTATAATTATTTGTAACGATTCATGTTATTGCTAGTAATCAATCAAAGGAGCCTTTTTTTCCCCCCATCAGTGATCACTCATAAATTACGAATTACATAACACCTTTCAAGTGACCCTAGCTTATAAATGATTGCTGTAATCATTGGCATTTTGAAGTTGAGTGGCAGCATAGCACTTCCACAGACACATGTAATGTTTGTAATAAAATGCCTAGCATGTAATGGGAGAAGCCAGTATTGTGTTTTGTACATTAGAAATAGCGCAGTGTGCCTGTCAAACAAATTAAAAAATTATTTATTCAAAACAAACAAAAAACAAACAAATATGTGTGATGACTGGAAATATGAATGTTTTTTGCTGCATCTCAAAATAATTTGTCTCAGTTTTCTAGATTAAGTTGACTTATTCACCAAAGAAAAAAATCATAGTTTGGCCTATATTTTTAGAACCAAAAAGGTCAATAAATTACAAATTTTAGAAGCGTAACGATATTTAGGATACCATTTGTCGGCAAGTGTCAATGAAATCTGACAGCGAGAATTGTATTAGTCATGATAAGAATTCTAATTTTGTTAATCGATGTCGCTTGAGGTAATACATCACTGTGTCATGTCATGCAGTTAAAAACAAAGTTAAATTTATTTGCACCTAACGTTTAATGCTCACATGCTTCATGGACCCCCAATCACCATGGAAACCCATCTGTCCAATTAGCAGCTAGGGTGTAATAAAAATGGCTAACTAACCACATTGTTTTTTTTCTCAATTTGAAACATAAATTCTGGCTGTAAACTTTTTTCTAATTACAATACTGTGGAATACTTTATTTTCGCTAGAATTAATTTTCGCTGAAAAAGCTTATTGGGCATTTTGTATAGAATTTATTTTCACTGATTTTTGATTAGTTTAATGTGAAATATAGGAAAAAAAGTATATTCGCTGGATTTTATTTTCACGGAATCATCCCTTCAGCGAAAATAGCGAAAATAAATTCCAAACGAAAATAAAGTATTCTACAGTATTGCAAATTAAGAAGACTAAGATGTCTGTATTGTTTTTATTTGCATATCTATATCATGCATGATCAATTAATGAATAAATTTCTGTAGTTACTTCTTTATATTTATGGTTACTAAAGAACCAAATACAATAAAAAAAAAACTCAATTCTAGTAAAACTTACCAATAAACTAATCTTACGATTGAAGTCTATAAATTGATTTGTTTTTCATTGATGGTCTATTCCATTTATTATTCCCCATTTTTGGTGTCTGAATAGAGACTAATATACTTAGGGATTGACCTCTGTACACCTGTTTCTTAGACATGGACTAATTACATTCAAACTTCATACTTACATCATCAATTTGTTTCACGATCTGATTCAAGATGACTGAATGGCAGCCATTTTTGTGCTGAAAAATTATGGATGGATTTTGTTAAAACTTGGTGCATACATTGGACATTATGGGACCTTGATGCACGTCATTTTGTTTTTTTCATTCAGATTTTAAATGGCCTACTAATGGTCATTTTGTTTTTATGAATGTAGTTTTAATATCTTCATTACAGATCATGTCCTCGATGTATAAATATATTTGTTTGATTATCTGATTTAAAATGGCCAAGTCGCTGTCATTTTTGTGCTAAAAAATTATCAAAAATAAAGCATTTCTGCATTGTGGAACCGGATCCTGGTCATTTATGGATGAATTTCATTCAACCTTGGTATATACATAAGACTTTATGGGTCCCTGATGCACATCATTTTATTTTTCAAATCTAATTTTGTTTTAATGAATGTGGTTCTCTGACATGATTTGACTTAAAATTGTATATATTCATTCTACATAATGTTATAAATAGACACATGTATTCAAAATGGACAACTAGTGGCTTTTTTGTTTTAATTAATGCTGTTCCACAGCAATATCTCTTAATATGGACAAGTACGCCTTTGACGATCAGATACAAGATGACTGAATGTCAATAATTTCAGTGTTAACAAATCACCATAATCAAGCATTAGCTTCTGGATCCATATCTCCGACATGTTTATGTTTGAACTATATTACTATAAACAAAATTATATATCTTAAGTTTGATAACTAACGGGAACTGTACCATGCATAGCTTGTTCTATTCAGACTTATCCCCTTGCCGATATTATGAAGTATGGCGAACATATCACCCAATAAATAATAGCCATTCATTACTACCCATGTGCATACTTTGCAGTATTCAAACCTTATTATTATACATCTTTTCTATGTGCTTGTAAGTAATAATTTGATGAAAAATATCAGCTAAAGATGTCAATGAAAAAAAACATTCTACGTAGTGCAAATGCTCGTGTTCACTTATGGGCAAATGCTCGGGTTCACTTATGGGCAAATGCTCGTGTTCACTTTGCGCTTTTCTCAAAGTCAAGATTGATATTTTGTATTTCATCTCTCAAACACTGCAGCTGAAATGTATTGAGTTTCATTCATTGAAGGATGGTATTATAAATACAGACGGAACCATTATTATTGTGATGCCAGTCATACATATATGGATTGATACTGAGAGCACTTTATTAATAGGGAGTGTTGCTTAGCAACCTTTTTTAATTTTAAATTGTTTCATGTTAGAAATCAAATTACAATAATTGGAAATTTCATAATGTAGAGAGCCACTCCATAAAATACACAAATAAAAAAACGTTTTTGGCAATTTTCTCCTTTCATAGTTGATTTGTAGTACCGGTAGAGTATATTTGTCAACACAATAATACCATATGTGGTTCATTACATGATTTCATTGATTAACATGGGACACTATTTTTTGCTGAAATGTTAAAATTTTACAAAAGTTATATTTTGCACATATGAATTTACTATTTACTAATTTGAGCATATTAGAATAATGCACAGACCTGCTTAATTTGGGGTTAAAATCAGATCATATAAATTACCTAATTTGCGTAATAATTCATAATCTGTTGGTTCTAGTCATATTTCAATAAATCTTGGTCCCTATAAACTCTAACACAATGTGACGATCTAATTAGTTTTAGGTTTATAAACATCCATAATAATTACCTAATTTGTGTGATAATTTACTTTTCAGCTTTCCACTAATTTAGTTACAATTAATCATCACATTACATTATGTGCGCCTGAAACAATATACAGACCTAAATCTATGCATAATAATTGCTTAGTTTTTTATAATAATTCATTTGGCTTATTGAGGTAACCCACAGACATAATTAGTTTAATGTTGATAAACATGCATATTGATTATCTATTATTAGCCCATTTCTGATATCTAAAAAATCAAATTTGAATTGAATTCATCACAGAGGTGCTCTGGAATTAATTAGACTAAAAACCACAGATGAATAATCAAATGTATTTTGTGTATGTATTATAAATTTTGATAATGTGAATCACATTGTTTTCATGTTGTGCATCTCAAATAGCAGACAAATATTAGTTGCTAAGCTTCTCGTTTGAAAAGCAAATCTTAAATTTTGAATTAATTTTAATGTTTCTCCAATACTCTCAGCGCATGAGTTCTTTCTAAGCTTTCTTTGATTTGTTATTGTCATGTGAAAGTGTCTCAGCATCCAATCACAGGGTACAGGATGTAGACACTTTAATACTATTATTTCTTTATATCATTTCCTGACATTTCATTTAGTTGCATAGATTCATTGCACATATGTAAAATTAAAAAATAAAATAAAATGTGTAGCATATTCTATATTATTTGGGGCTTGAACTTGAACTCAATTTCAAAAACATTTTAAAATGAGTACCTAAGAAGAAGATTTGATGATGAAGGTACATTCACCAGGTTTTAAATTCACGCTGTATAATATTTAGCACATACACATATTTATAATAAGCTTATAATAAGTATTGAAGAAATATCTGACATTGAGGCGGAGTGTCCATGCAGTGACCTTCAGGATGAACTTGATCTCTGATTATATTCTGATGTGGAAATACATTGTATATATCCACTAGGTATACAAATACTGTTTTGAACATGCTGAAAACACTGATTCACTATAAAGCCCCAAGTGACTGACTGTTCCTCAATTGCCTTCACCAATATCCTAAATTAGACGTCAATAATAACGACATTAATTTATTTGATACTGTAACTTGTACTGACACTAAGCTATGGTGTGGGAAGAATAAGGGTTTAGAAATTATGCATGTCTATCTGAGACTCTTATTTTTGTTTTTTGTGAAAAACTATGACGTAAACATAATTGTCTTCAGATTCAGATTTTTATAAATGATAAATTCTTGTTTCTATGTGAATATTTATTCTGTCAGTCAGCTGGCTGAACCTTAAGGATGGTAACAAAAGAAATGATATTTAAATGATGCAGTGAATGAAATTGATTATTTGCATGTACTTCTATTAGCGATGTATATTTAATAGAGCAAATTTGATAGTATGAAATGAGATTTTAATTGGGATGACTATGGTTTGATGGTGTGGTTGCTCAGAAATACACTGGCAGATTTCAATCAAACGTACAAAAATATGGTGGCTTACAGTGGCTTGTTGCATCGTTTCCTGATTACATTCTATTTTCTATTCTGATATCCGTCCATAAGTATTTGAGTCAACCAGTTTCAAGAATATACATAGCAAAGAATGTTTTTGTCTCATCCAGCTTGAACATTTTGACTTAGAGTTGCCATTTTTTTCAACACCAGGGTGTACTGATGTCAGTAATGTACACTAATGAGGCATATACATGTAGTAGGTTACCATCTGTTTAATTAATTGAAAGTTGTTTTTAGTTGTTTTCATATTTCACATGGTTGGTATGATTCCACTTATCAGATCACAAGATAGCCATGCTATAATTTATATATAAATGAATTTGTAAAATGAACATCATCATTTGGAATAGACTTTGGAACAAATGGAACAAATTGGTTCCTAAATTGTTGTTGATTTGTATGTTCATTTCATTATTAGACCCATATTGATACTAAAATAATGGCATTAATGGTGTGGTTGAAAGCGAAAGTAACATAAATGACAAAAGTGAATTTGTATTTAATCATTTGTGTCTTAATGATATGAAAACCCTGCATGTGTTATTTATAACCTAGTCATACTTTCAACATGGCCAATACGATAATTATCATTTTGAAAGCTCAATTCTTGAATGGCTTGTCAACTTATTTTCACTTGCTTACTTTTGAGCATTTCTAGTTTTTTATTTGCTTCAGCCATTTTTTATCTTCTGGTATGATAATGAAGTAGTGCGGTTAACATGTATAGCAGTTACCAATGTCTCATTGCAGTTAACACTTTCTTGTTGCCAGGATAACTTGACTAATTTTTACTCATCTTTCTCAAACTTAGTTTATATGTTATCAATCTATCTATAATGGTGCAGTTCAATTTACTAGTATCGGTAGTCATGGCCATGGTGTTCAATGTTCTATGTTCTAGTAAATGAGTTAGAAGCATGGCAAAGCTTCTATTATAAACTAACTCTAAATAAATGAGTCAGTCAGCCCAGTGCATTCTGACAGAGTGAATTAACCTCTGTACATCTGCCATGCCATGCCTGTGCATCATTTGAATACATAACACGATACATTGTTTTGTTTCAAAATGGCCAAATGGCAGCCATTTTTGTCCTTGCATTTGATGAATTTGCTGCAAGACAACTTATAAGAGTTTACAGTTATCAATGAACATAAACTGAATAATCTGATTAGCTAAACAAGTATTTGTTGTTCAACCTAGTAGGCTTTTCCAGTTCAAGGGGAGCTGGTTCGAGCGGGAAGATGTTAAAGTCTCCTGACAAAGAAAAGAAACAAGAAACATCCATCAGTGGAATAACAGACTGGAGAGAGTTCAACTGTAAAACATGGCAACTAGAACCTACACTCAGGTAATATAGTGTTATTATTGCTGTATACCAGCAGTGTTATTTTTTTAAATTCAGTTATTTCAGTTTTTTTTGTTTATATGTGCCTGAATTAATTGAGTGAATATTACTTATGGATGTATTAATTATTTTTCTGAAAAGTAAAGGGATGATTTATAAATAGTATTTGTTCTAATTTGTTAATAAATGTGTCACTAAATGCTCTGTACTTTCAAACACTTTGCCCCTGAACACTGCTACTGAATTCTGTGGTACTGAACATTGCCACTGAACACTGCTACTGATAACTTTGGTACTGAACACTGCCACTGAACACTGTGGTACTGAACATTGCCACTGAACAATGCTACTGATACTTTGGTACTGAACACTTGCCACTGAACACTGCTCTGAACACTGTGGTACTGAACATTGCCACTGAACACTGCTACTGAACTCTTTGGTACTGAACACTGCTACTGAACACTTTGGTACTGAACATTGCCACTGAACACATTGCCACTGAACATTGCTACTGAACACTTTGGTACTGAACATTGCCACTGAACACTGCTACTGAATACTGTGGTACTGAACATTGCCACTGAACAATGCTTCTGAACACTTTGGTATTGAACATTGCCACTGAACACTGGTACTGAACACTTTGGTACTGAACATTGCCACTGAACACTGCCACTGAACACTGTGGTACTGAACATTGCCCCTGAACACCTTTATACTGAACACAGCTACTGAACAGTGTTCTACTGGACACTGTTACTGAAGACTTCTGCTAAACATTGAATACTGCCACTAAATACTGTTCTACTGGACACTGTTCTACTGAAGTGTTCTACTGAACAGTTCTACTGAGCACTATTCTTCTGAATACTGCCACTGAGCACTGTTCTACTGAACACTACTACTGAGCACTGTTCTAGGGAACACTATGCTACCAAACATTCTAGAAGTAAGAAAAAAAAATATTTCAGAGATTCTCAGTAAAATGATGCAGTGACATATTTTTTCCTTTCAACTGATGCAGGTTTTGACCGTAAACAATTTTTTTTTTCACTATGGTATTCTTAGATTGTTATCATGGGGTGGCAAAAAGATAGACCCTGTTGGAGTTGACTACATTCTACAGAAACTTGGATTCTCGCATGCTCGCGTCACTATACCCAAATGGATACAGAGAGGTGCAATGGACCCTATGGATAAAATACTATCTCTGCTAGCCAAGCATGTGATTGCCATAATGAGTGAAGAAGACAAACACAAGGAAGAGGATACTTTGCCTTGAGGTGCCATATTGTTTTATGTAAACAAGCCAGTGTAGTGTTGCCAGCGTTTTTCAGTGGTGATAATAATCACCTTAGCTGGAAGGATGCTCTGTCTTCTTAATCTTATTGAGACCAATACCTTTTAAACAGCCGCATTGTAAGGGTTTAAATTGAAACCATGAAGAGGGGCTCTTTCAGTTACAATATAAAATAAATATTTATAATTTCGCTCATTATGCAAAGTGCTGTTGAAGGGTACATTATATTTAAAAATTCTGCCTTATACAGCTGTGCTTCATTTCTGAAGGGTAGGACTTACTGAAAATGTGTATAATTGAATTGAACTGTGATACAGTGTACCCCTGCATGACCTAAACACAACAATGTCTTTTTTTATTAAAATGTAAAATCCCATAGATATATTTATTAATCCTCTACAGCTTCACACTTTGTGCTATTTCCATACTTTCTTTTTATTAATTTTGATGGAGAGTGCTTCCTGGTATGTAAAATAAGACAAGAGCTTCCTACATTTTGATGTATTTACATATTAAGTATTAGTCTTGAAGGAGGGGTGGAGGATTTTTTATATGTGCGTTATATTTAGATATATTTCAATTCTAGGTTTCACATGTAGGTTTTCAAATAGCAATGAATGGTTGAGATTTTTATCAGTACTGACACATTTAGGCTGTAATGTAAATATTTTGAAATTAGATTCAAATGAATTACTATTATAAATTTAATTTTGTTTATTAGATTTGTGATGATATCTTCTGTAGAGGATTTTTTTAGGCTAAAAATGCATGAATTTACATAATAAAAATAAGCAGTATTACAGTGCTCATGGTTTATTGAACAAAAGTCTACAAATGCCACACTTTGAAGTTTATTATTCATTGAAAAAATTGTATATTTTTTCGTATTTTTAAATTATTCAACTAACAGCTTTAAGTTCAATGTTATATGTATGTCCAGTATTTATATGTATGTGTAACTTTCATATTGGTGAACTCTACAAAGTGATTTTATTTTATTTCTTATTAATCATTTTACTAGTCAAAGGGAATAATGGCAACATATATTTAAAGTGTGTTAAGTATGTTCATGCCTAAATACACAGTCATCTACCGTATTTTACCATATACACCATATTTTACCATATACAGAGTATTTCACCATACGCACCATATTTCACTATGTACATTATATCTTGTCATATACAGAGTATTTCACCATATGTGTACACCATATCTCGTCATATGTACTATATTTCGCCATATTCAGTGTTTCACCATATACAGCACATTTCACCATATGCACCATATCACACCATATTTTACCATATACATCATATTTCACCATATGCATCATATCACACCATATTTCATCGTATACATCATATCGCACCATGTACACCATATTCACCATGTACACCATATTTCGCCATATGCACCATATCACACCATGTACACCATATTTCACCATATACATCATATCACACTATATTTCACCATATACCTGGTACATCATATCTACAACAGCATTTCCTCTATGTTCAATCCATGCATTTATATAAAGAATGGTGTATTTTATTTTTGGGCTGTATAGTGCTTCCACTAATGTATTAAAGAAAGAATCATTTCAATTCTCACTACTTAACATGAAATATGCAAATTTGGGACATTTTCATTCTGTTTCACACATAGCATCAGAGGAAAAATCAACATTTGGAGCAAATAAAGCCCCTACTAGTTTTAAGATCTAATAAAAGTTTTGCATATTTGTGTTAATGGTTTTGTAGTCAACATATTCTGAATTTAAATGAATAAAAATAAAAAAGTCTAATAATTCACATTAATTCCTGTTCATGTAAACTTTTAATGCTGTGACTTATTTGAGCTTGAATATTTAGATTTGATTAGTGACTAAATCCTCAAAATATTTGTATTTATGTATAATAATTTTTAACTACATGTAGTATAAATTATGCCCATGACATCGCCATGCTTTGAAACCAAAACATGAGTACCGGTATTCTAAATTTGATAAACAAAAAATTGCAATATTTCAGCACAATAAAATTGGAAGAAGCTCAACATAACATATTTATTATATTGATTTTTTTTTTACTCAGACATTAATCACATATTTCATGGAAGGTGACAATATCTGGTACAATATTAAAAAGTATTTCTCATTAAATAATAAATTATGTACCATATTAACATGAAAATCCTAATTCCTTTACCCCTGTTAATATTTGTAGAGGCTAACAGTTTTTTTTTTCAGAGAAATGGGTTACTGCAACTGTATATTAATATTATTTTTTTTCATTTTCAATTATAAGTGACAAGATTTTAATTTTTTTTAGTGTTGCAATTAATGACAATACAACTGTTTTAGTGTGTTCCATTTTTGAAATACATTCCATATGCTGGTTTTTTTTTGTTCTGAGGTGAATTCACTAAAGGTCAAAGGTCATGTAATTACATTTGCATACAATTTGAATAACATTTGCATACAATTAAATTCTTCTGAACCCTTGCTTGCTTGCTTTGCAACTTGCCAGCAGCTTATATATTAATCAGATTATAAGCTTTTAATAATTATAGTGAGAATGTAAACATTTTGGTGTGAAAACAAAGGCTAAATCAGACATTTATATCACACAAATAATTCCATCAACTTTCTGTACATTTGCTGTTATCAACCTTTTTACTTCAACATTTGTTTTTACAAAATTGTTGAACTGTTTAAAACATACCTCGCTTTATATTACAACTAATGTTGCCTGTGATTTCTAATGATATTTCCAGCTCTAATAACACAGCTCCATTCCTGCACAACTATTGTTCCACACCATGTTAAAGTTCACTTCATTAGTGTTGGTGCTAAACATTTGTTGATATTTACGTGGCAGTGTTGTAATATTCAGTATGAGATAGTTTTAGTTTTATGTAAATTGAAAATAATATGTACAAAAGATAAAATTCATGATCGTTCTCAATAAAGTGGTGCAATATTATTTGTAAATATTAAGTTTTGTTGTTTTCTTTCACTATATTATTATACATCTGTCACTGTAACACCATAGATTACAGTATTTTCATCCTACCATATAAGGAAATGTGAATTCCAAATATGGAATGATTATGCACATAAGCGTCCTCTAATAATAAAAACAAACATGGCTGCCACAAGGGTTTGACCGGACTCCACACAAAGAAGTTCGCAGATTCTGTTCTAAACCTTTTGGATTTCGACATTCCCAGATTATTACGAGAATACCTCAAAGTATGTATTCAGACAGTACGCCGTCGCATCAATACTACCGCTGTACTGTCTTTGTGCATACTTTGAGGTTTCCTCATAATAACTTCATAGTATACCCCCCCCCCCCTCACTGCCATATGCTGCCTATAGACAGGTATACTTATTTTTAATGAGGAAATCTATTTCCTAATGGTGTCTTGCATGTAGGTTATTGTAACTTTATAAAATATAATCATGGAAAAGTGAGAATATAGACATCGATCTCCAATGATTGATTTGGCCCGTGAGGTATTTCCCTTATAAACTTAAATAATAACAAATTCATCAGAAAATTAATGCTTCTGGGAAAACCACCTTGGGTATATGTATGGTATTAGAATATTAGAAGATATTTGCAATAATATAATAATTCATAGTAACACAGTGTAAATTACAAGAGCTTAGGGAATGATCATTTGGACTTCTTTGTATCATGGTTTGTGAGCGAAATTGTTGAAAATATGATTTTGTGTTTTCATCTGAATTAGATTGTATTTTATTTGTGCCTTGTAATAACCCATATATTTTCATATTCTAATATAATTTTGACTGCTGATAGAAAATGCTATTTGCATTTGGATGACCCTATTGTGATTCGCTCATTTCATTGTAATATTACTAGTGGTTTTGAACAATAACGATTTTTTGGCTTGTGACTCGCGTTTATTTAGTTGTACATATGTTTAGAATGTTACATATTTTGGTGATTTCTGGCATATACACCGAGGCTGATATTGGTCGAAGTTACATGACGTCTCCCGCCAAATATGCTAATTTTCCCAAGAGAGGCCTAATGTCCGCTACCAAATACCCGAGCGTTCCGTTTATAACCTCGCTACAAAATGCTTGCACAAGATGTGCGCTATGAAATAGCTGTGTACATCGTGTTCCAATTTGTAAATTTTCTGTGTAAAAAAGGAGTAAAAATACAATGATTCTTTGATTTGCGTCAAATGCGCATTTTGGCAATAATAATTCGTATTCAAGTGTTTGTACCAGTTTTCCATGGTATTCGATATTTAAAGGGCGGCGGTCGTCGTGTCGCGTCCTGTTCGACATAGGACTCATAGCGACGTATACAACGCGTGTAAAATACAGTGTTTATTTACATGAAATTCGAACATGCGCTGCGCGACGACCACCGCGCTTTAAGTCAGTTTATTCAGGATCAGGGCGTGATAACAACTTTATACTTCAGCCAATCAGATGGCTAGATTCAGATTAACCATATTATAATTATGTTGCATCTGGAAGACTACATGCACTGAGAAAATGTTTCTGCCAAACGTACTTTTTTTTTTTGTTTAATTTTTTTTCACGCATTCACTTTGCCAAAAACACGCCCCTTTCTTTCCAGAAATATACAAACAAAATGCGTCAGATGCGTACGCGTGTTGAACAGTTTGAAAATAGCCCATTTTATGTGATTATTCATGGAAGATGCGTACCAAACTGAGACCCCTCTCCCTCCACAAATAATATTATAGGTACAAGTGAATAACATTTAATCATATACAACATATAGAGATTAAAAAAATACATTTAATATGTCTTCCATAAAACAAGGTACACATAACAGTCAGTAATTATGAATTCCATCGAAGTTTCCAAGTTGGATTGAAAGAAATAAAAGCGACTAACTGAAAAAAGGGAGAAACAGTAAAATTTAATGCATTGACATCAATACCCTTAATAAGTCATATGGTATTAAATAAATGGGAAAATGTGTGAAGGGTGATAGTTTTGAATAATTTGAATATCACATATGTTTGAGATAACATTAAGAAATAAAACATGCATTCGTAACTGGAGACACTTTATTAGAAAATAGTCACCAAACATTAGGCAATGTTCTTCCTAGAATTGTATTGTTCA